CATAGGAGAGCCTTTATTCTTAGTCTGTGCAAGAATGTATGCCTTTATCATTGGATAGGGGAGCAGAAAAGTTTCAGGTTCTTATAGCAGGTCCTTTTGTTTTCTTTAAGGACAAGACTACTTTTTTTACTGGCTTTGTATTTTTCTATAGGGGAGTATCAAAGAGTTAATTTTTCAGAGAGTTGAGTTTACCAAAGCTATTTGTCTGTGAGGTGTTTCCATAGGCCATATTTTCCACAATTAGATCTACTTAGCAAGTGTTAGACATTAGATGTAGCATTATTTCTTCCTATGTAGTCGACACAAACATTATCAAAAAGACTTTATGGCTGCTGTTGATTTGTACTAGGAAAAATGCTTTTCGACCAGGGAAATTTATTGTTGATTTGTATGGTAAGAGCTCTTCCTTCTCCCCTCCACCCTCCTGATTTTAGCTAAGTCTTTTCAATCACAGTGCAAGTAACTGCATGCCTGTAGATGAGTTCTGCATGGCTGTCAAGAAGTTCTGTTGTTCTGTTCATATTTAATAGGCAGTGTGATCTTTCTGAAGCTTCACAGTGTAATGTTGTCCAGCTGAATGAAGACTCAAAGACTGAGACGCTATTCCAGATTGTATTTTTTATGCTGTGAAAATCATCACAATATGACTCCTTTTATGAAATCACATACAGGATGACAGGTGCTCAAAAGAAGAAAACTAGTTTACTTACCCATGGATGTTCTTATTAATAACTTACTGGTTTTGTATTACTTTCACAGCATATTCTTACAGTTTTTCCATTTATAGCCCATACAGAAATTTGGAATCTTTAGTTGAAAGGGAAATGTAGACTTGCTTAAGTACTTAAATGATCTTCGTCAGTAGAAGGTATGTTGTCCAGTATACTGCTAGCATTAAAAATAAACCTGAATTATAGTGTACATGTAATCTCTCCCTGAACAAATAGGCCAGTAACATGTCAAACAGTCTTTCTAAAATGGCATAATTGTTTCAGGATTTCCCATTATTGGGGGAGACAGCTGTGATCTACTCTGGCAGGATTCCCTTTGTGCTTAGTAACCCTTTTGATACCTCTGGCTTGCCTGAATAGGCTGCCAGGATCTGCTTAGCATTGTTCTGAATCTGTTCTTATTACTGAGAACCAAGAATTCTTGGATGTATTGGATTCTTGGATGTATTGGATTCTTGGATGAATTTTGGATATAGCTGTATCAAGTCTGACTTCCAGTGCATGCAACGTATGTTTGTTCAGTGCTTTTACTTATGTATAAGCAGTCTGCATCTTATTTCATTGCCTATTCTACTTTCAGAGCTTAAGAAAAGTTTGATTTTCTTCTAGATATTTGAAGACAAGGTTTTGGTTACTGTAAGTTAGCACTGAGGCCAATGAAAGTATGTGGGTGATAAGAGATCTTTAATGTGGCAGCAACATAGACTAGGGCTTATTATCAGGAAAGAACTTCTAAAGAGGTCTATCTGTGAGTGTCCATACTTAGAAGTTTTATGATGTCTTTTTGTATACTATAAAAAGTAGTTGAAGATGAGCTTTTGGACAAACCAGACAATGTTATGTTTCATACTTTTATAACGTGTGTGTAAAATGCAAGTAAATTTTAGTGTTACTGTATATTCTGCAGATGGCACCTTGAGCAGACAGTGTAGTGTTTGTCTTTCCAAGCTGTCTTCTAAGTTGCCTTTTCTGGACTAAATGTTGCTGATGTTTGAGATTTACTAATATTTTGAATGTTTTGTATGGAGCTGGGGGAGGGAAAATGTTGTTTTGTTTGTTAGTCTCCAGAAACTCCTTGCTTGTTAATTTCTTCAGTTTTTGTCAGTGGAAAGCAGCTCGGTTCTTTTGAAATCTTCACACACCTCCTGCCTCTTAAGAGTTATTCTTATGCAGTCACATAGAATTCACAACAAAAGATGCTTATAAATGCAAAGTTAAAGGGTGCTCTGTGGAATCTAGTTATCTTCCAGATCACGTAAGTTGATAATTCATCTTAATTTCCTTGATTAAAAATGGAAAACAATCATCATAGTTAGAGCAAGCAAATGTATAAAGGTGGTTTCTGAATGAATGCTGCTTTCAATTCAATATACATTGTTCTACAGAGGAAAAATACTGCTGCAGTTCTCACTCACGTTCTTTTTGGAAGTCATCATAGTCTGAGTACATTCAAGAAAGCAATGTCCCTTGTAGGGAATGCTATCATCTCCCTTGTATGAGAGGGATAGAGATGAACCAGTTGTCAAGTTATTTCTCTTCTGTAAATCATCAGAGTCTGTCAGTTGGTTTCCTTGATGAGTCCCTTCTCAGCTGATCAGATTTCTGCCAATTGACTTTGTTTCCAAGGCAACCACTGTCTTGACAAGCCAGTTCCCTTCAATATTAGGTAACTTATTTCTTAGAGTAGGTTGATTACATTTTAACTGCAAAGTTCTTAACAAGATCTTGCTACTTAAGTTTCAATCTTACATGAAAGTAGAAAGATAACAAAGAAGCAAAAGTCTCTGACTAAAATGGAGTTGACAGCATGGTAAAGATACATAAAAGAGATTTTGTACTCTCACGAAACTCACGAATTGTACATACTCCCTGAAGATAAACAGGCCCACTAGTTTTAATGTATAGCATTTATGTATATATTCAGGGTATTCTCTTTCTGCAAATAATGAGAGTTCCTGGTAAGCTAATTAATTTATGAGGACATTTCTCAAGAGTACAGACAGGCTGCCCTGGGAGGTGGTGAAGTCACTGTCCCTGGAGATGTTCAAGAAACACTCAGTCATAGTTCTAAGGGACGTGGTTTTGTGTGGAAATATAGGTGGTAGGTGGATGGTTGGACTTGATCTTTGAGGTCTTTTCCAATCTTGGTGATTCTGTGAATACCAGCAGTGCAGCAATCTCCTTTTTATGCATGCTATGTCTGTAAACCTATTGATACTATTGTGTAAGGAAGCAGAGGTTCCAACCAAACTTTTTTTCTCATTTTTTTTTCACCCTCCAAAGTTCAAACTTTGATTGATGTAGTCTTTCCTGGCATTGCCCATATGTGTACTCTGTATCTGGTAATTGTTCAGGTTATCACATCCTTTCCTTCAGTGTCTCTTCTATTCGGCTCGTTTTATATCCTACAAAACTTGTAGGATTGTTTCTGTTAAATTTTCTTGGATTCTTCCTATGGATTAATGTTTTAGGGGAAGAGACACGGATGGGATAAAGTTTAATAATTTTTTTATTTTATTTTATTTTATTTTATTTTATTTTATTTTATTTTATTTT